TCCCCCCCCCCCCCCCCGCGCGCCTGACCCAGGCGCGAAAACGAATCTGCGAGGCGTGGCCGCTCATGCGGCCCGATGGGGAGGAGGGGAAGACGTAGGGCGTGCTTGCGCGCCTTTCCGAGGCCCCTCCAACCCACCCGCGCTAGGTCTCGGGGGACGAAGGGGTCACACCCGACGACCTCGGGAACTAGCCGGGGCAGTCGGAGCAGCTGAGTCGGAGAAGGGGCAACTCCGTGCACTGACGGTCGGCCGTCAGAAAACACGCCTCCGTGGCTCGGGTTACACCAATCCTCGCTACCCAACGCGGCCAAAGGATATCCACCTCGAGAACCTCGAGAGAGAGTAGGGCACCGGCGACGCGGACAGTGACGGCATCCCCGACTACCTCGACCCCGACGAAACTAACGAAGCAGTCCGCTGTGCGACGGCCGCCGTTCCGGGGAGCGTCACATGCTGCCCGGCCATGGAGCAATGCAAGTGCCGTGATGACTGTATTGGAAACTGGGGCCTGGCCGATGCGAATGTAAACGATGCGTACTGCTCGGGTGGGGGTCCGCGCATACCGCTTCCGTGTGGCACGCCATAGAACCTGGACCGGAGCGGTGGCTCGGTGGCCGGAGGACTGCCCGTGCGTTCCTGCTGACTTGTGAGACGTCGACCATCGGATGGGGAGAGTGCATGGGGTGCCCCGCGTGACGTCTGCCCTGAGCATCCTCCCTGAATGCTCCTCGGGTGGGGGTGCCGCCAGCATTACCGCTGGCCTCTATACCGAGCTTACGTGCTCTCTCCCTTTCCACGTGTGTGAGACTGGACGGACTTTTCACACGTGAGACTGGACGGACTTTTCGGGCAGGGCGGCGGCCTGGCCGAGGGACGTGGGTATTAATTTTGTTGATTGATGTTACGGCCGTAAACTTGACTAAATAAAGATTTTTACAGAAGGAGGGTGGGAGGGGGGGCGAGTTACTGGAACGAGTTGGAGGGCGATGGCGGCGAATTGGCCCAGGGCCGTCCTGTCCTGACCTCACGGAAGCTTGTATCGGACCTGGAAGACATTGCGGTCTGGATTGTCGACCAGGGCCACCGGGAGTGCTCTCGAGCGCCTACACCGGAGCATCACGAGCCGGTGTGAGCTTGAAGACCCGAGATAAGTGCGGTCTGGGACAGCTCAGGCTTGCTACTGATGGGCCTGGGCCAGGAGAGCGCCCGCGAGTGACATCTCGTACCAGTGGGCTCCGGCTCGGGTCGCGGGACCCCGGGGAGGCCCCCCAGCTAGCGTACATTCTGAGAGACCCTGAGCGATTCAGGTGGTGGTGCTGCCGTAAGCGCCAATGGGCCAATCCTACGTGGTGTGGACCGTGAGTTGACCAGGGGTCGACGAGGGGAGACTACGTGGACAGGCGAGACGAGGAGTGACTGGGTGGCTAGCTCTAAGAGAGTGTACTTTCAGAGTGTAGGTTTA